GGAGAACTATGAGAACACATGTCAGACACACAAACTGCATCAGCAGAGCAGCCGTGGACAGTAGCCAACAGGATAAACACATACTGTGGAGGTTCAATTAACTGGCATTTAACCAGACACATGACACATCTCTATAGAACTGTTGGCAATGCGTGTTTATTATGGAACTGAACGTCCTCCTCGCACTCAGATTGTGCTATGCTTATTATGACATGTTTGGGTGTTTATATGAGCCTGATTTTTGTGACATCAAAACTATTTTGGAAGAAAGTTGTGGTCTAATGTGCAACTTCCATGATGTGAGCGTGATGTGGAAACTTACAACCAGAGAGAACAGAGACATCTTGCGTTATTTTCTTTGCAAATTTATAGCTTCTAAAGGTGCTTTCAATTAGTAGTTTCAGCATTTTTTTTGTCTTAAATGTGTCTGAAAATCATTTTAAACATATATTTTGCATAATTCTGTGTAGTTATTCTAAATGTGCAGCTGGATAAAACCTGTGTAGACAATGCACCCAAGGAAAAAAAAAATCTTTCAAAATGTCTTGTCAGGGATATGAAGTAGTGGGAATTTAGAGTATTTAAAAAGCAAACACAATTATAATGTAGATTTAAGGAATACTGAAACGTCCTCAGAAGATGAGATGCGACTTATTCATCAGTCACACTTAATCAGTCGCGTCTTCACACAGTTTCCCCTATATGACACTCAGTATAGTGTCTCCCCGGGTTGCTGGACTGCTGTTATACAAACTGTGGTATTTCCATTAAGGACTAATGCAACTGTTTAATAACAGTGGAGCACAGATACTGAGAACTGACAAAAAGCAGTGGTTGAGCAGGCAGAGGTCCAGGGATTGAGAGCTGGCAGAGAGATTTCATCTATTCGAATAACCTCTAATGTAAGAATGGTTCTTTTCTTGGACCGTATGCCGTTGCAAAGGGAAGTCATGGAAACTAATAACCGTGAACTTGCTGTAATGATAAAACCAAAAATTTGCCAGTTGGAGTTGTTGCTTCAGTGACAGCAGAGAGCAGATTTAGATAGAGAAGATAAGCACACAACAACAAGCCTGCAGCCTTAGACTTCACAGTTTGTTCAGTGTAGCTCTGGATGTACATATGCACTGATATTTGGCTGTATGTATATATTTGTAATAGTCCTAAGTCTGTGTTTTTTAAATGCTATCAAACAGCCATGACCCAAAATGCACTGTGGCCAGAGTAGATTTTTTTTTGGTAATGTTTTAAGCCCAGAACTGAATTCCTGGCATTTAATATAGTTCCCACATTAGCACACAATCAAATCACTGCTACAAATAATGATCAAAACTAGTGGTTTAAAGGAACTATGTATATTTACTCAAGTACTGTAATTACATAAAGATATTTTGAGTATTTTGTCACCAAAATGTAGCAGAAGTTTGCTTTTTCTTCTTCCCTAATCAAAAAATCCTCTCATGACCCTTCAAAATAATCTTGTGACCTTTTGAAAAAGTGGCAACCGTTATGATGGGAATTTAATCAACTGTAGCTCCACGTCCATCATACGCAGTAAACGCCTATTACATATTGATTTTTTATTTTTAATTTTGCGCTGTTGTGCTTTCACTTTACTAGACATTTAACTTCCAAAAGTGGAAAATGCAGCAGTTGCAGTCTAGGTCTCATCAACACAACCTGCACAACTGATTGCACCAAATATTAAACATTTGCTTTTGCATTTACGTGCAGTAAATGATTTTTACTTTGCACATATCTTCCACCTCTCCCTGCATAACAATACTACAGTGATAACTTGGCTCCAGTTGCAGGGTTAAAGTACATTCTTTAGCTTTTGGTCCGTCAATGTCTCCCAGATCCTGTGACAAGAAGACAAAATGTGGACAAGCATCCACCCACACTTTGTTGTGATCAACCCAACTTTCTTCATTTGTTTAAAAATGTTTGTCTTTAGTCTGGCTTTGCTCAAGATGTGAGTTTACGTGTTTTCTTAGAGAATGAAGACTTTCAAATGGGAAAAAGCACGAGGCAAATAAAACTAATCTTTGTTCCATGATCATCAAAAATCTGATGAAAACCATCATCTTCACCAGCTCACAGTATCTGCAAGTTAGATCCATCGTCGATGCAGAGGACTGTGTGATAAAGTCATGATGCCTGCTTGCTTGAGAAGACTTTCCCTCTCTGCCACAGCGGATGATATGAGCCGTACAAACCCAAATTACGTTTATAATTTACACGGTGCAAACATGGGCACAAAATCAAAGCCTTCCACTGAATCATTTAGCATATTTACTTAGCTGGCAACTTCACGGGCAGTCAAACCTGTCTGTGTGAACTCCTTCATTTGTATTTTCTGCTGACACACACTGGAAAGTGCAGACCGAGTGACAGTCACTCTCTCATTAGCAAGTTCTTGGTGGAGACTCCAGATTCTGTGGGTGGCCTGGAACTCGAGAAAAGTGCTTTCTCTCTGTATCTACCGCTTCTTTCCATGGAGACCTGAAGTCTCCAGTCACCCTGAATGTACCCTTTCCCAGTGTCCGTGGAGAAGAAAAAAAGAACGCATCCAATATTTCAGCAAATAGAAACCTTATCCAAACAAAGGTAGAGTTATTACTTTCAATCAAAAGCACATGTGAGAAAAAAAAAAGGGAGACTGGACACTTGCTGTATTGAAAACATAACTTTGTAAAGTGCAGCGTGCAGGGTTTGGTGCTGAATACGCTGCTCCTTTTTATTGTCAGGGAATGTGAAAAAATGATTAATTGTGTCTCTTTGCACCTTAAATTGAAATAAGTTATGAAATATCCATCGAATCTAAGTGGAGATATGGTGGAAAAGTTCCATTTCCCTTTCTCTGTTATTGACGAATACCAACGGTAACAACAGAAGAAGAAGACGACAGTGGTGTACGAAGGTATATCTTTAGAATCTGCACTGTTTTTCACACCTTTTTTTGAAATACAAATATTGAACATCTGGCGAAGACATTTACGTAAGAGGTCACTTACAAATTTTTCCACATAGTCCGTAAAATAAGCTAATGACTGAGGGAAAAACTGAACATGTATTATTTAATAATTTACAGAGGACTTACAGAGAGAATACAAATCAAACTCAGCGACTTTTTCACGGCACCACACAGGCACCAGATGTTAAAGCTAAAGTATTTTTACCGGCTGATTGTGAAGAGAGGAGCTTATCTTGGAATGCTGCTTAGATTGTAATGTAAATGCGAACTGACAGTCGGTCGGGGAAATTTACTGCACAACACTTGTAAATCACAAATAATATTGTAGTCGGTATATTGTAGCGCTGCAGCGGTTCCTAGGGCCACGTAAACATAACATCTGGTTCAGACTGCCTTCAGCAGTTTGAACAAAACTGTTCAAGTAGTTACAAGGCATTGTGGCCAAGACCGTTTTCAACAGCTTTAATATTATCTTTTAAACTTTTTTGTGATTTTCAACAAGAGGCATGAAAAGTGAAAAATACGCTCCCTTGGTTAATAACTAAGCGAACATCGTGGCACACAGAAGAGGACAATAGCTCTACAATGATGCTGCTGCATTTGATGTCTTTTCAAATTACATCTCCCGTTAGGAATGATGGAATCAGTATGTTGCTCTCTTTGGAAATATCAAAAAGAACCAAGTGAAGTTGTACGACAATGTCATTAAAATTGTGAGTTTTGAATCAAAGTGGCCTCTCAAAGGGCTTTCAGCACATGTTGCCTCATTGTCTTAAGTCGTGAAAAGCAGTGAACACACTGAGAAAAGTCCTCAAGATGTCCTGAATCTTTCAGTTTAATCATAATGTACCCATAACATGCAATAAAAATCCATGTGGGCTCAACGCAGCCAAACATACCTTGCACATTTTTACTGTAACAGAAGTATATCAAAGGATTTTGTCTAGAGATCACATCTGCAAAGCATCAGCCCATAATAGCTTTTATGAAGTCTTATTTGTACTCATGAAAAAATCTCAAATGCAGACACAGCCGGTTGGTGATTTTAGTGACCATTGAACTTCCTCAAATTGTGTTTTAACTTGATATATACAGCCTGTTTAGATGGCAGCGTTATTGCACAGATATTTTCACCTTTAAAAATGCTGTTAACATTTATCATAGCAAGCTTTTAGCACACTGTTTTTAAGCTGTTTTGGTTGTAGCTCAGCAGTCATACTGACTGTACATCTAAAAAGGTATTTATTTTGTCCATCTTACTCAAATAACTCTCAAATACAACATTTTCTAGTGATGCAGAGCAGATTCAAGTTTTTTCCCAACAAATTTCTGTTTGAGTTTTAACTTGCGCTCTACTCATTGGCCTACAGGAGACTTTGCTTGATTACAAAAAGGGATGTATTTTCATTCAGTACTACAGACGCACCTATTTCAAGCCATCCAAATCATGAGGATGTTCGCTCATGTTGCAGTCTGATCATCCATCACTGATGAAACATGACTGTGAGGACGTTGATGTCTTAAATTAGACAATTTTCTCTGCAATTTGACTCTGATTGTTGCTTATTTGTGATCATAAGACTCACATTCCAGCTTCTGTCAAATTACTGCTAACGGCAGTAACGTGCCAAAAAGTGCACCAACACATTGTAGACTGTTTGCATGTAAACAGTGTAACAGACCCAAACAAGGTGGATTACAAACAGGACTGAAATCTATCTACCACATTTGTTGCGAAAAATGCATTTAGCTGAGTAAAACTGAAAGTAAATATAACTGTTTGTGTGCGAAAAAGCTCCTCAGGGGACTTTTAACATCCTAAACAAGATTTTCAGGCGTATTAATGAAGTTTTTTTACAGTAGCTTCTTGCTTAATAATCTCTGTCCAGTCAACTTCTGTTTGCGTCTTTCTAACATAACATGATGCAAACATTTTCTACGTTGTTTTTGTTCCCTTTTTTTCTTTTTACATTAAAATAATTAACCATAAGAAGCAACACAACAAACAATAACACATCCCGTGTGACCAGTGATACAAAATACATTCTTTTATTCATTCATCATTGTAAATACACAAAACAAATCATTGCAAAGTATTCACACAAACAATATTTAGTGGGATATAAATCTTCACACCATTTACACACCATTTACACAAAGTACTTTGGAAACTAATGTCATCTCTTTTAGGAACTATCTTTTTTTTTTTTTCCGATGCATTCAGTTTGGAATATCAGTCACAGCTATCAAAGCTATCTATGTCTTTTCCCCTCTTATCTATACACACAGATTTTACCATTTTCAATCTATCCAACTGTGCTCGTTTCATCCACCGTTAACTCTTCTCACCTAGATCATTTTGCTGCAATGTTTAGGATTCATATGTTATTATATGTACATGATATACATTGATTCTTAAATACATTTTCATTGCTTCCAGTCTATTTACAATATAAGAGCTTATTGATATTTTAAATGGTTACAAAATATACGCACTTGATGCTGTTAAAAAAAAAATGTATTAAAGCAAAAGGAGGCAAATGTGATATTGTATTGACTTTGTTTGTAATGAGTGGTTGTTAAAGGCCTGACACTTCACGTCCAGTACGACATAAAGCTCTGCAATATTTCATGAGAAGAAAGTATGCAGGCATATTTGAAAAACAGAGAAATAAACAGGGCTGCGTGCCATCAAAGAAAACGTTGATTCGAACTGCAATTCTCCCTGAAAACACCAGGCTTATGGAGCATTTTTGTAACCTTAATCAATCTTCTCACATCCCCATTCATATTGGCTTCGTAAACGGAAAAAAATTGCAATTCCATCATATCCTTGAATCCCGTTCATGTGATTGGAAAAGCAGAACCAGTCTGGTTCGCGCTCTGGTATCGGAAGAACCGCTAAGCCTGCAGCAGAGGACTACCTCGGTGCAAACTGTTTTAACCCACACAGTTGTATCACAATCGATTACAGCTGTATGTGACAGATCAAACAAAGTTTCCACAGTGAACACAGTGCTTTATCTCTCTTCTTGTGGCTAAAAATAGGGCAAGGAGTTAATTCCCCAGATGAAACTCATCAATCCAATGTAAGTGTTTGTTCATTCTTTGGTTTAGGAGTATTTGGCGTCGCATATGAGTAAATAAACAGTGTGTGCAATCAGTTCTTCATTTAATATGATGTGTATGCGCATTGTTACTGGTTGTAAATGTTTTGCATAGCAATAGCAGAATTCTTCAAGACTTTACATAAGCAACATGGAGTGAGACATTGTGAGAAAAATTGATGGCATAAAATGGAAAAAAGATCCAGAAATTAAACACAGCACATTACACGTCAGATCTTTTAAACTAATTGACTTCAGAGATCGTTAAGGAATGTACTATTTGGTAAAAATATGGCTTGTCTGTAAATAGTCTATCTGTCGTAATGTTATAAGCTGTAGCTTGATGAAAGACTGCTACGTGTGTTGCCTCCATCTAGAAAAAGTCCACACCTATCACAGCATCTGCTGGCTAACTTTGTGGCTCCCTGAATGTTGTAATAATGTGTAAAAAGGTTTGTTGGGTTTGTGAACAAACACAGCACAAGCTCATTGATCTCTCAAAGTCGTGAGGTGTGTGTGTGTGTGTGTGTGTGTGTGTGTGTGTGTGCGCTTGTGTGGTACGTGAATGTGTGTGAGAGGATGCGTGTTTTTTATGTGGGTGCAGGGATCGACCACTCACAGCAAACACATTAAAGCATTCCCATTTGCTCTCCGCTTGCCGAATAGCGAGCTTGAACCCACACAGTCTGTTCTGTCTCTTGTTAGTCTCTGTCTTTTACTCCTTTCAATACAGCCACAACCCATCCTTTAAAAAACTTTCCCTGGCAGATGGAGACAGAGGCCTCTACGCCGACAGCAGCTGCCTCAGCTTCAGATCTTCTGGCACATGTGGAGCCTGGACTTGGACGAGGAGGTGGCGTCTTTCCACACCTTGCAGGAGAGGCCTTTGGCACAGTCACAGCGCTGGAAGATTTCCAAGCCGTGAGAGCCTTTCTTCCTCTGCTTGGTGCACACCTCTCCCTGCCGCAGCACCGGTTTGCAAATTTTGGTCCAGAAGTGGCGGGCGCAGCAGTAGCCCTCTGAGCAGTCAGATGAGCGAAGGCAAGGGTCACCCTCATGCCCTAACAGAGGAAGACAAGATCACTGGTAAACCACGGGAACTGGCATACGAGCACTCGGAAAAACAGAAACAAATGCTTCATCAGAGACATAAAAGACCTGCATGAAATTGTAAACCATCCAGAATCTTGGAGTTTGTTGTGAGGCGCTTAAATAAAGAAAGCAAAGGAAATGTGCAATGATTGTTCATTAGGGCGGTTATGTTTTCCATACGGATACGTTTATGTAACCCTTTCTTCACGTTTCGGGTTCCGTTTGCCTTATAAAGCATGTGAGAGACGAAAAGAAACATGAAGCTTTCACCAGAAATCAGGCAAACAATTTGATTATTCTGTATATTAACCATATCATCCAATCTGTTCTTCTGTTAGTCTGATATTCTTGGCGCACTCTCATGAGCAGCGTATATAATTACTATAATTTAGACACGCAGGTTTTTCTGTGAAACTCCTTTATGTGTATATTACCTCTTGCCAAAGGTTGCATTATCATCCAAACCAGTCATCCTGTGTCCCTGGCAAAAGCACACTTTGCTGACTAGTTATTTCAATATGAACTTCTAACCATCAGTGTGATGAAGTGTGAAGCCTGAATGTTTGTTCATTGTTTTAACATCACTGATTTTCTGGAAGGACTTCTCTAAAGCAGCGACTTGCAGAAGGCCATTAGAATGTAATAGCTTTTAAAGAAAGGCAGCGAGTCAAGTGCAAATAAAAGGAAATGGCCTCATTTATAGCAACTTTAAGTCGTGCCGTTATTTTCGCATTGATGCAGTCTGCTGTCTTCAGGGTGCATTTAGAGTCGAGTAATTTAAGTGTCTCATTAAACTTATTACTTTATGGATGGGGGCCCTTACATAATCTTAAATCAGCTGACACGAACGCGAAGCACGGGGGGGGGCTCAGTTGAGTTATTAGCTATAATCATCCCAAACCTGCATTCTGCGGTTTTCACTTGCGTATCGTACAGTGTGTGCTGTCAATGAAACTGTATGGCTTTATGTAGGTGCAGAAACAGCACACGCATTGTGGTTTCTACCAGCCTCCCCATGCTGTGCTTTGGGCACACAGGCGCTGACACATGAGCAGACAGGCAATTATCAACTTAGTACGTGGACTGGTGTTACCCGTGAATTCTTAAGAAACATGCAAGCAGTGAACAACAGAAGGATTCAGCTATCCAGACCAGGTTCAGTGAGGACAACAGCGAAATATATGAGAGGAAAGATACTAGCGATGATGTTTAGAGATGGCAGGGTTTCCACTGAACATATTTCAAACTTAACATCAAATGCAGTCAAATCTTACCTTTAAGAGAATGCTTTGCATGTGCTTTCCCACCCTTCCTCCAACTGTGGTCTTTGTTGGAGAGCTTGTTGTGTTCGTCTAACGCTGAGATGTGCGGTGACAGGACGCTCTCGGAGATTGGGACACAAATATCTGCAGATGAAAAGAAGGGAAAGTTATTAAGGTAATGGAAATCCTAAATCTGCTTCGTTTTTTTTTACAAAACTACAGAACAGATTACTGAACCAACAACTGAGTGCCAACATGGCAAACTGAAAGATCACATCGATATCTTAATAGTGAGGACAGGCGACTTCCTGAATGTGTTGATCAGCTATGTCAGTTGAAGCTAATTTCAGCACAGCCTCTGCACACACACATCAATGGCCTTCACACTGCTTTTTGCAGAAACAACATGCCAACACGTGACCATTGATTCCCTGCCTCTGGGGCTTAATTTAATACAGTTCAGCAATAGCCTAGGATTCTGTCTGAAAGCATGTGTTTAGCATTATTTAAATGTATTGGCTCTATCACTAAGACTCTGGGCTAGATGCTGTGGTACTGTTTGTTCAATGACCTAGAAAAAGTCACTTTTTCCAGACTATTTGCATAAGACAAGAAATCAAGTTTCTCAATCGCGCCCCGCAGTCAGGATATAATTGAAACTGAAATTGCATGTGTGTGTGTGTGTGTGTGTGTGTGTGTATGCGTACGTACAGTTGCTGCAGCGGTTCCCAGGGCAGCACATGGCATCTCGATGGCAGCGCTTCTTCCTCCTGCGGCAGGTGAGGCAGCGAGACGGAGCCTGCTGAGGGCTGTGGCAGTAGCTGCCCACGCTGCACTCCTTATCATTGCTGCATGGATACACCTGCTGGAGAATAAAAAGATGCATTTACTCAGTCTGTGAAAACATATTTAGCTGTATAATGAAGGAACATATACTACATGTGAACAAAGCTGTGGATAAAGTGCATTTCAGTGATGTCAGACTTTAAAATCAGCAGAATAGACTGCTTTTCTTGAATCTACAATCCATAAACTTCACAACTGGTGCCTGACAGTTTGTATCTGTGAGGTGAGGAGATTTTTAATGGACTGCACATAGCTCTAGTTAGTCAGTAAGAAGCACTGAGGCACAATACTGATGCCAGTGTGGCTGTAGTTGCATCACCCATCAACTCATATTATGTCAAACAACAAAGTGCTGTCAAGTTTTGTTTAAAATTTGTGGCTGAGACATGGAAGAGCTTTTTTTTTTTTTTTTCAAATGCTTGACTTTCCCTTTTGTGAATAAATAAACAGCAAATGTTGCCTTTGATATCTGACTTGGATATATTTGCCTCAGTGGCATAAAACAATACAAAACACGTGCACATGTAGCTGTACTGTAGTGAAGTGATTCCCTTAATTTCATCTGTAGGGCCATTCTTTTCTGATTCAGAATGGCACACATCAGGCCACTTACTGGAAAGATGTCATCTGGTGGACACACCCTGCCCTCAGCCACATTGATCCTGTCAAACTGTTCAAAATCTAAACTCATAAAACTGTTTTATTGGGCAATGAAACATCTTGAAATGCTAAACTGGTCTCCTCCCATTTTTTTTAATTTAACTGGGTATGTATTTTATTGTGGTGATTTTCTACCTCCCACATATCATCATCCACTAAATGTCAATCTAATTGTCACAGCGCTGCGTTGCAGAGCGCATTACTGGTTACCTGGTCCACCACAACATTGCAATATGCTGCATTTACAGTATCTCTTCCATTACATACACCACAGTCCGTCAGCAAAATTGGAACTGCAATCACTTAGCGAGATGAATGAAGTCCATGCAATGTTCAGGTCAGAGGTCTTTGAAAACCAGATCACCCAATCCAGCTCCAGCAGGGTTGTGGTGGATCCACTACTTCTAATCTGCACCAGGTCTTAAATCATGAGGCAAAATTGCTCAGTTAAACTGTTGCAGTTTTGTTTGGACCAAATACAGGACCCAAGACGGATTCAACTTGAATTGGTTGTGTTGCTTTGAGAGCATTGTGCTTTATCAAGAAGGTCGTAAATCACAGTAAGTCTCATGCTAGCTAATTCATCAGTATTTCTGAGCATTTGATGTGGATCAGTGCCGACGAAACAAAAAGCTGCTGTTTCAAGAGAAATGTTAGACTTGTGTGATGTTAAGGAGAACCAGGCTACGGAAACTTTGAACAATCCAGTTATTTTGTTGTTAAAATCATTTAGTTGGTTATTCCAGTTTAAGAATTGGCAACATTTCTGTTGCACTTATTGTTCTCGACCAGAATCACTGTTGTCCCAAGTATCATTGTTTCTGAGAGAAATGTTGCCCCTAAAATTGCTTTGATGTTTGATGTCTTGGACGCAAAGACTGAATGCCTTTTGCCTTCATTGTATTAAATGGGTGGCAGACGTATTAGCAGCGGAGATCTGAAACCTCAGCAAATTAACCCAAGACTATCTGCACAGCCAGACACCACGGGGGGTAAGTGGGGGGAAATATGCTGTTTGTTTGCTTTGGGTGAAATAACTACAGGCTGTGGTCCCTCTGAGCCCAATTTTAGTGGACAACATGTTGTAGGGATTAAGTTGTCTGTCACTGGCATGGTCAGGGCTGAACAATAGAGCTATTACAGTTTCCAAACCAAGAAAAACCACTTCAGTTTCTTTTAATTCTCCCAAAGTGTTCAGAGGCATAATGAGACATAACTGAGGGGTAATTTCAGTAGCCAATCAGACTCCTTTATTGTTAATTAGGCATTGTTTTTGCTTTAGTATTTCTTGTTTTTATACTGAAAGCAGCTGAGTGCAGAAGGAATCTTTAGGACTTTCCCATAAATGCGCTAAAATGACCACACAAAGAAAAACCACCACCTTCGAAAACATAACCTACATTGTCCGGAGCAGTGAGAAGTACAATTAAAACCAAGCTTGCTTTTTCCATAACAAGTGTGTATACTAACTGGAGGTTTTACTGGAACCACTGTCTTGATTTAATTCCTTACACATGCAAGTCCCATTGTCATTAGACTTTAGAGAGTTCGGCATAAATTGCATCACAAATCAAATGAAATTTGCAGATGAACCAAATAATGTCACGAATTTGCACTGAATTCGTCAAAGGAGAGGGATGTTTTGAACAGCTGGACGAGACACAGGAAAGTTCAGGTTACTTACTCTTCGCCGAACATCATTCGGTTTGACTTAAGCTTAACAAACGGGTTAAGCTGTCAGACATTTGCACAACGCAACACCTATTCATGCGTGCAGATTGATAAAAATGAGTATGATACGGAACTAACGGTGTAAATTATGCTCGTTGTGGACTGACATTAGAACAACATGTTTGGTTGGCACACCACCACCAGCACCACATCCACATTCAGCTGGCACTGCAATGACAGATCTGATTTACTGTGGCTTACCACTGACAAACATGGAACAGTCAACATGTGAGCGAACATGAAAGAGGTTTAAATCAGAGTAAAATCATTATAGCCACAATAAAAAACAAACTGCTTTTGGGGTATAAAGGTCAGTAGATGAGGGTCTGCCATGCCCAAAAAGAGCGGGCGTCCTTCCAAACACGAATGTAGACCACATGTTTAAATCAACTATCAACAATATCAATATTTCAGCACATTAGAAGTTGTTACTCATGTGCTTGAGCTTCAGAAAATGAACAAGATTACACTTATTGGAAGGCTGCCATAGTGACTCTCTCAGACTAGAAACACATGGAGGCAATGATACAGCCATAGAAAAATGAGTAGGAATATTAAACTGAATGCTCATCCATCATTATGACAGATTCCCATAATGCAAATGCTTAACATGTTGATGAAAGCAACAAAGCCTCGATGTTTTATGGATTCTGAAAATTTCTTAATTACTGCAAGGTTAGGAACCATTGTCAGAATATTCAAAGCTCTAATTTTAGCATTATGACTTAAAGCGGATGGAAACAGCCATAGAGCTCATTTATAATGGCAAAAAAAAAATCTTCTAAGCAGCACTTCTAAAGCTCATTGTGTAGATATAAAGCTAACAGTTGATCGTTTTGGAGGAATTTACATGACAGTAATTTGCAAAGTAAGTCCAGCTCTTTTTGCAGCATTTCCGGCTGTTGTTTGTCAATACTTGATACCACGATACTATGATTGTCATTTTATATGTCTGCTTTTGTAGGACTTATTAAATGTGATACGAGCGAATTGATTTCATAGATTAGCTGTTCTCTGCTGCTTTCAGTCTTTATAGTACGCAAAATGAATCACCCTCTGGCTTTAACTCCAACTTAACACATAAACAATAGGTTGATACTGATCCCAATGCAAAAAAAAGTATGTTTCCCAAGATGATAAACTCTCCCTTTAACACTGAGTTCACCTAATAAGTTCTGAGAGTTTTATGAAGCTACTGTTTTTGAGGTCATGAATGAACTTTCATGCTCAGCTGGGGTTTTCTGTTTCTATGTAAACTGTTCATTCAGACAAACGCGCCCATTGCTGTGGACTGTTGGTGCAATTACAGCCGAGAAATGAATGTGCTGGAAATCTGGCCGGAAGAGAAGTTCAAGAAATTGCAGCAGGAGTTTTTTCCCAGTCAAGAAAAATGTGCTGCTATCTAAATACGAAGACGAAAGGGCCCAGTAGTACTTGATGCTACCTGCTCTGATGCCTATTTGTCTTTCTGACCAGCAGGTTTGGATCAATTACAGCGCTTTGCACATATGCAGGAAAGACTGAAGCTGGGGAAGGACGACGCTCACCTCTTCCATCACAGCTCGAACTGCGAGACAGCCCTTTGAAACTCAACGATACAAGGCCAACCCCCAAATCACAGCTGATAATCTCGCCTTATCTTGTCATATTTTAAAACGCCTCGCTTGCGGCTTCTGATGGACAGGGCTTCATTTGGATGCATCTTATTCATCTCATATCTTTCTTGGGTTGCTCCCTTATTTTTCCCTAGACAGCCTTCGCACATAAAAGCACAGCCTTGGATCCTGCACAGGAAGTGGCTTAAGAACTGTGTACTCTGCAGCCTCTCTTGGTATGCTGGTGAGACGATAAAGGAAGAGACAGACGGAGAGACATAAGGGAAGCCCCCGGCCCTGTCTCGTGTTGCTCTCGTGCTGGTAAAGCACTGTGGCTTTGAAGACGAACCTTAAATGTGCGGGAGCAACAATCTACAAGGGATTTACTGCAGGATATACAGGGCTTTGAACCCTCTTCCCCCAGTCTGCGCATCCCTTATTTACCACTGCACAGTCATTCCAAAGCGCTGATATAATTCCATGGGAGTGCCCTGTGATGCATAAAAATAACACTAAGTATATCTCTTCTATGTAGTGTGAGTCTGAGGGGACAGCATGAAGAAACAAAAAAACACCAAAAAAAACAACAGAATAAAGCAACTTCAACAAACTCCACATGCTTAAGTGACAAAACCTACCAGTAACTGTGGTGGGAGCAAAGGTGATAGAGATGAAGTTGGGGTGGCTGGATGGGTCAACAGAACAAAAGCTGTTTTGAGATATGTTCATTTGCTTTCTTAGATTTTTTTTTTTTTTTGGAACGATTTTTCATTAAACATTAAAAATTAAAATTTTTATGATTATAACTCTGAACATAAAGTTTTTCCTACCTTTACAAAAAAAAAGCAATGCAAAAATGGAATTAATTGACTTCTTTTTTGATATTGTTAAGACAACGCCTCTATGAATCAAGGAGAAATGATGTATTTCGTTGTTTAAGTTGAATCACTTGCGAACCTTATTACTCAGTGGATCTCCTAACGTGGGCCATCAGTGCAAACACTAATAAAATACTAATAAAACTAAAAACAGACCTGCTGTCCTCTGCATATGGCAAATATCATCTTTACGAACCATGACAGTGCTGAAGGCTGTCTTCTTTTATGAACTATGCTATCTATAACTCTCTCACCTTAATCGTTTTCATAAAGTCCTTCACAGTTTGTAAAAGCAGTTTTTATGCACTATTCTTCCACAGATTTTGTCTCTGAGGGGAAAAAAATGCAATAAAGCTTAAGCAACTCTTCCCACACATCCAAAAAACTTTTTTTTTGGTTCTCTTTTGTGATTGCACATGACCTTCAGAGCTCAAGCTCGTAACCTGAAGCTGTGAATGGTGTTAATGAGTGGCAGGGGCCTTAAAGAGTCAAATAAACGATGTCACTGAATAAACAAACTTCATATGGCCTGAAAGCACAGACAGCCGGTATCAGATAACATAGGGATGACTGCGCACAACTCACTCATACAAACCATGTCTTCAAACAAAGCTTGGCGTCTTTCATCACTCAAAACACATGTGTTTATAGCGATGTCCCTTTGAGCACTAGAATACAGAGTCTCCAAAAACTAGACCTTCCTTGAGCTAAGTATACATTCTGAGTTAATCTTATTCATCGGACACGACGAAAGGCACACAGTCACTGTACACAGACTGCCGGTGGGGGGGGGTCTGCGGAAAAGCTCTTGCTGGTAATCTAGAAGATGTGTTGCTCTAAAAGGTGTAATCCTGAGAGGTGCACGGGTCTCCTCCCTCATTAACAGGTCCAATTACAGCAAAGGTGGTCTGCACATGACGAACCTGGCACTTCCAGTTCAGGGGCCCTCACAGCACCCAAGGGACCCACAGACTGGAAAAAAGCCACAGGACGAGAAGACTGAAGCACAAACCGAGCCGAGCACTAACAAGCAGTCACACCTCTTGCCTGTCTTTGCTCGCTCTTTCTCAGCTCATTAGGATCACTGAACAGTCATTTTAGGTTGAGAGGGGAGTCTGAGAAAGAGAAAGGCTCTGCTTTTATAGACAGAGCCCTCAGAGATCGCTTGTTAAAGTAATCTCTGTGTTGAATTAAATAAAGCAACTAGTTAAGGCTGACTGACCGGCGGCTGAGGTTTTACAGACACGTACTGCATGAATGCCGCCACACTGTTGGTTCCCTTGTGGGTTCAGAGGTTACAGTGGTGAGCACTGCCTGCCCATGCTATCCATTTCTGTTGGGTTCCTTCCAAAGAGGCAACAGTGCCACCCACGAGTGCCGGCTGTCAAGGTCTTGGAGGTTTTGGTTTTGTCGGTTTCACTCCAGTGAAAAGGGTTGAGACAACAGGAAAACACTCAGCAGTTTGGGCCATCAGAACACAGAGGAATAGCCAAAACCTGCCCTGGTTTTTATGTGTCATCAATGTCACCCTTATCGCCAAACTGTGTCAGCAGCTATAGGAAATAAAAGCACATTAAGTTGTCAAAGGGCTTCATATAACCCAAGGTTTTGACCGACATTTCTAATCACATAGATATTACACCCTCGTTTCCTGCTTGTCTTCCCAGGGTGGCTGGACTGTCTCCCGCAGTAATTTGCTGCATTTAAATGAAAGCCAAAGAGGGCAATTTTTGAGGAGATTCCTTGTAATTTTTGGAACATTCTATAACTGTGAGAGAGTTTCTAGACCCTGAAACAGCTGCCTCACACCATCTAAAAATGTTAGCTATTCCGGTATTCGACTGCCGACTGAGAAGAGAAGAGTGTGAGTTTTAAATAATGGCCGTGGCGGTAAATTATTGAGATTCTCGCTGAGATATCTGGCAAGCTCACAATCACACACATCCTGAACCCACTCTCCAGAGGTGTGATAATCTGCCAACTATTTCTCACCAATTGTAGCAATCTCAGCAACATGACAAGTTGACCATAAATCTGTTGGTAGGATATCAGCCCCAAGGTTTCCCATAATGTGGATGCCAGAGGAGAAATTTGAGCTGATGCGTGCCCATTTTCCAAACATTTCCCCCGCCTTCATCAGCAATACGTGAGTTCACAGTTGCAAATGAAGATGAAAATATTTCGGGATTCCTGCTGGGAACCACTTTGGAAAGAAAACGCTTCAGTGTTTTGTGCTATGCAGCCTATTTCAAGACATATCATGAAATTTGATAGATAGTTATTGAGTTATTGCAGACTGATCAGTGTTGCTGTGACGGCTCTTCAGCTAAATCTATAGCACACTTTGCCATTACAGCCTTTTGGAGAGATCAGACTTGTTATCTTTGATTTATTATGCCCAAAGGTAGCCACTGTAAGATGAGATGCAGAAACTCAGTGCAGTTTGCTCACCATCATCAAGCCACAAGGCTGAGGCTGAACTCCGTCTGTTACTTTACAGCTCTGGTAAACCTCCTGGCAGCCAGAACACACACACACACATACACACACACACACACATATACATATATATATATATATACCCCAATCTTAATGTGGACACAACACACCATGACATTTTACTTTTGTAGCAGAATGGTGGTCTCTGCGCACACACATATTGTTTCCCCTCGGTCCACTCTTCCAAACCACTCCAGATTATTGCAATGGCAGAGATGTAAGCAGGCGTTCAGATTGAGGTCTGGCAGGGTAGCTTGAGGTTGGATCTCCACACTCCGCAGAGGAGAGAATGTGGCTTTTCCATAATTCTTCTGTGCGAGCTGGACGTCTCTCAGCGCTGTGCTCTTCACAGATATACAACGGTATATCTACAGCAAGTGAATTTACAGGCAGCTGAACAAGCCAAATGCAAACACGGTGGGTGAGAACATCGGGCGAAAACTCTGCCTAAAGTGAGGACAAGAGTAATTAGCTGTCTCAGTGAGCTGATGGACAGAGTCTGTCTCCTGCGGGGGGATGTGATGGAGATGTGGCACTGCCATCTGCTGCTCAGAGAGATGCTGTGAGGCATCAGCAGCAGCCCTGAGCAACATCATCAGACTCTAGTTGAACTAAAATCAAGGTGATTCTTTAATGTAAATCAACATGTTATGTGAGACGGGTGCCTGGATTGTCTCAGTTTTTGTTTGGCTGCTATGTTTTGCTTCTTTCACACGTTGATATCTGTTTTCTGTTTCAGATCTGTTTCATAGCAGACAATAACTTAAGTCCACTTTTGAGAAATGATTTGGTGGATGTTTTGTTGTCTTTTTCTCCCCCTGGCTAAGCAACAACTGTAATTCCTCACTTGATAAAACTCACTTATAATGTTCACAGCTTTTTGATCCCACGTTTGCTGTCAAACTGCCGCAATGTGGCACTTTGTTGAAACAGCAGGAATTGATAAGTCTTTGAGTAGGTATTAAGTGGTTGGTAAGGGTATCCCTCAGAGGCCCCACAGAATCTCATAATCCCAGCAAGCGTCTGGACCACTTTAATGACACTAAGACCCAGACAGAAAATTACCCCAAGTGTTAACTTTTTCTCACATTTCTGCTGGCATTAATGATTTACTGTGGAAGTGCGCTGCACCCGGCTGTGGCGTCAGGTTTGAAAGGCAATTAGGGTTTATGAGGGGTCCGGTCCTCGCAATTTCCAATAACGATTCGCACATGAGAGCTTTTCAAGGCACATATTACTAATCTACCATTTTACTTTTACATATGAAAATGCTCCTTAATACTGTTCTCTCGACTTTCATTGAATTGAAGAAAAAGGAAACTTTTGGAACCGTTGTCATTGCTCCAATGACACTAATCCTCGTGCGTAAAAGTGTGCCAGACGTCTCAATTTATGTTTTCTCAGACAGTTAAATCGTCAAAATTACCTGCACAAGGATGTTGTGTTTCTTGGTGACAGCAGCAGAGCGGTTGGTAGCCGGTGTCGGCGTCTCTTCCAGCAGAGCAGGCTTGATGGAGTTCGCCTTCGGGCGCGCCTCTGATACCTGTGATGTCCCTGTCCTCAGTGTAGCGACGAGAAACATCACAGCACAACATCTATTCCAAGTAGAGACGAGCATCCTCGGGGGAAAAAAGGAATACTAATATGTCAAAAAAAAAAAAGAGAGAAAAGAAAGAAAAATCTTAACTTTGTGTCGTAGAAAAAAATAAAAATTAAGAAAAAAAGTTTCTCAATGAGAAGTGTGCGCCCTGGCAGTGTCCATGCGTAACGCTTGCCAGAATACAATACAGAGAGTGGCGGTGATGATGCCAAGATTTTGGTTCCTGAAAATCAGATATTCAGAAGAATGACTGCCATCGACACAGTGATCTGGAAAAAAAAAAAGAAAAAAAAAAGACAGAAAGCCCAGTATGGAGGGGAGTCAGTGGAGATCTGTTAAAATGCTGATGCTCTGAGGGTCAGAAAGAAAGTTGACAAGAGGTTTTCCACTGTGTCTCTGTCTGGCTGTGAGTGAGCACTTAGTCCTGCAGCCGGCTGTTTTATGATCTCGGATACTTTCTTTTTATAGGATTCTAATGAGTTTGCTTCCTCCGCCCCTATTCACAACTGACAAAGAATGAAACTGATCTGTGTGCGGCACTGCTGCTTTCGCATTGTCGTCTGGACACCGGCACCAGGAGCCCCGTTGGGAAAAAGCTATAAAATTATACACTGTGTATTTTAACTGAGCGCTTGACCCTTTTTACTGCGAGGTGGTTGAGCACGCATAGGAAATGGAAAGGGGGAAAAAAAAAAAAGAAGTGGGGCTGCTCTAAAGAGGGTTTTTGTAAGTAAGGTGGAACATTTTCCATTATCACAAGAAATAATTTATGTTACTCGGAAATTGTTACCTGTGCTTGGATTTTAAAAGCCCAAACGGTCACTAATGCTTGGTACTGAAATGATGCCCTGATAAATTCACGGTTCACTTAACCAGCATTCCGGAATAACTTAGAAATAAAAAAACAAATCTGATAACTATTGTTTTTCCTTTGTGAGAAAGACATCCCTCATGGTGCAAAGGATGACAATGGTGATAAGGATAATGATGAAAGAATTATAGAGGATCCTTTGTTCCAGTCCTGTATCAGGAGAAGTTATTCATGTTGGTTAGATAATATATTTGTAAGTACAATAAACTCTTTCAGGCAGGTAAAGCTCATGATCTTGGATGAATAATTCACTTAGCAGAAGGGCACAAGTTCTGCCTGGAAAGTAATTTAACAGCTCTCAGTGTGTGTTCATGTAGCCTCAACCTTTAACTGCCTTTTTTTTTTTTCATGTACATATAATGTTGAGGTCAGAGCTACTTCACCGTTCGCTGCAACTATTAAAAAGAAAAATCGTCTATATGGTGCGTTAACCACGATTCCCTCTGTGACAATGGAAACTATGATGCACAAACAGGAACCACAGTGCATGTACAACAACAAAAAGTCATCTTATTAATGAAAATTAAACAGCCAGTCATCAAAAACATCTTTCCCACAATGGCTCTGTGACTCTCCACCTAATAATGCTTTAGTCTTCACACAAGTTAGAAGCATCCATTCAAGGCTGGAAGCTTGGCTGGGCTGGGATGAAACCAGTATACCGGTAAAGGCTTCTGACCTCAAAAGCGATCCATCACAGACTCCAATTCAAAGTGTCAAGTTCTTTTGTTGGAGACAATAGGCAACCAACTGAACTGGGGAGTGGGAGGAAGTATTGGACTTGTCTGATGTAACTGTAGATGCTTAGAGGTGATACTATTTTAGCCGTCGTTGTCACCTGAGTGCACAGTGATTTACCTTGAAAGACTGCCACCAGACAGCTGCTTTTACCAGAAATATATTTCTTCCGTTTTTGGCGGACAAGTTACCAGCTGGGAACAATGTGTTGATTTTTTTTAATTAAAAAAGGGAGACTGCAGTAAATAAGCTTCCACCGAACAAGTATTTCTATCACCGTGAAGTTTTTTTCGAATGTTTTCTGTGGGATAAAAAGAGGATTATGTTCCAATAACCGATGCAAAACAAAAACAATGGCTCGCGGCGAAAACTTTGATTTATTCCATAAACACTGGGTGGTTCCCAGCTGGATTTTCTGGTCTGCCTTTAATACTGCTGATGAAACAGCTGAAAAAGTCCCTAAAATGAGGGTGAAAGTGGCTCACAGTGAATCAGAGGTCCGGAGCAGAGATTGATGAGGTCGGAGTGTCTATGGCATTTCAAACACATTCATCACTCTAATACATGCAAAGCAGAAAGACAAGACACTTAAAATGACAGACTGCTGAAACTAGAGGAAAAAAAAGAAAACAGCACGTTGATGCAGTGGTGCTGATAAGTGTGGCGATATCTGGAGGAACCACAGTAGATGAGATGTGACAGGCCTGAGTAACATGCGATAAAGTATCTCGTTGGAGGAAAAGCGATGTGAATGCTTTTAGACAGCTGAGCTTCTGGTGTGTTAGATAAAGGTTCTGCATGTGGTAGCCAAACTCGGAGCAGAAGGTTTCAGGCATGACAGTGCGAGAATACCCATTGCGCTCTGTCACTAACAAAGAGCTTTCAGGATGTCAGCAATTAGTGTCAAAAAATGTGATCTTAAAAAAAAAAAAAAACTTGAGCAGAAATAGGGAGTAGAGCACCTGGTCCAAGATCTGTAATTGTTTTCTTGGCTCACGCCGTTGGAAAGAGTTTCCCGTGGGATTATTTCTTGTGTTCTGACATGCCATCACCACCCCGGCCTCCACAGGAAAATCACATTGTGACTAGTGTTTTCTGTGTTGAAGAATTCAAGCCATCTGTAAAATAATATCTGAGAACGTCTCAATATCCGTTCACCTGACAACGGAGAAAGCAAAGCACTGCTGATTTACAATCTGGATTCTGAGGGAAGATTAACGTTGTATCATGGAGGGTCTATTCCCTTGACAACAGACTGGATAACTCTGGCATCGCCGGATTATAACCGGAAAAAACGTCCTCTCTGGTAAAATTATAACCATGTTTAGGCTGACAGGGACATTCATTATACACAGGTGGTCAACTGCAGGTGAGACAGGCTCAGTACAGTACATGGCTCTTAAACAGTAGAGTCACTTTGGTCATAATACAGGTTGCATAAATATATAGTTTAAGCCTTACCTTCTATTGATTAAACATGTCATACTGCACCAGGGAATGTCGCAACGCAGTAGCAAAAGCAAGGACAGCAAGTAATCAGAATTAATCTAAATGTAGAAATCTTCCAAAACCCAACTCTGCAAAGGTGTTATGAGGAAAGAAGTTAATTCAGCTGTTTATTAGGCCTCAAAACATCAAGTGTTTTAGTCATTTTGAAAAAGTGCAAATAGTAATTTACAAAAAAAAATTAAAAACAGACTTACTTTGAATCGCTAAAGCTGAAGATGGACATAGAAGACGAGAATAACTGTTGCTGCCAAAGATGATAACAGATGCTAGTTTTTTTCAAAACTAATTGAGAATTTTTGCATTTACTGCATTTTGCTGTGTTTCTTACACAAAAGCATAATTAAAAAATGCAAACGTGAGAAGGTATTTAAATGGTCTCTTCTCTTGAACCTCACTATAGGAAGTACACAACATGACTTATTGATGCTATAGCAACATGTCTGAGAAGTTGAGCAACAGAGATTTGCTAACTTTAATTATATGAGACACATTTAGAACAGTGGGGCAAATGTTTGATTTGTCAAAACAAAAAAAAAAGCTGTAAGAAGATACGTAATTTTACTGACAATTTGGAAAATTTTTGGTCATTTAAAGTATAAACGGGTTAAACTGCTTTTATCCTAAGTTCTGTAATAACCTTTATACCTAACAAAAATGTTAAGATCAAGACAAGTGATGTTCCTCCAGTCTAAATCCATTATGTCATTCATTCCTCCTGCATCCTACTTTATCTTTAAAGCATTGCACACTTGTCAAGTCAGTCTGGTCACTGCAAGACCAAGACAGGTTTATTTGTACATCACCTTTCAAACATAGCAGCAACTCAATGCGCTTTACACACAGAAAAGACACACATTAGAGCATTCAAAAACAAAATGCATTAGTTTTCAGTTCACTGTCTATAGTAATTTTGACTCAGAGCTAAATACAGTGGTAAGAGATTTGTCTTTACCACTCTCCTGGCTCTCTTTCCCTTGATATCGCCTTGAGTTGTGCCATATGCAATAAAGTGTGTGTTAAATTGCAATGACACAGTGTATAAACCAAATAATATGACATCAATGGGAGCAGTAGTCTGTAGAAACAACATTTTATATACTGTGTGAAGTCCAACTTCAGATTAAAATTCTTGGATTGTGATTAAAGTCATTGTGGGTTTATTCTCTCATGTAACTGAAGACCGTGTAAACCAGTTTCACTGTGGCACAGCGGGTCTGGTTCTTGTTACTGGATCACACAGTACAGGAAGAGTTTCACCCTCCCGGTTGACCACCCGCAACCATGCATCAGTACAACACATCAGTCGACCCACTCCGAGTCTGCCTTTGATTCGGGGTCATGCACAAATGTGGGTGTTTATGTTCTGTTCAGAATATGGGGTTCCCCTCGGCCGAAACGCAGCAACAAGTCTGTCATGCTTTGTTAGCGAGGTGGAGCTCAGAGGAAGGCTGTCGCTGACTTTGATGTGACTCACACAGAACATGCATACGGACTACACCCACACTAGATGATAAACAAATTATCGAAGAGACCGTCTCTCCCTTTTTTTTTAGTGGTCGACGTCCAGCAGATGTGAGCTGGCGGCCTGATGACGCGAGCCATATGGCAGGTGGCTAACCATCAGAGAGGAAGCAGGTCTGATTCCAGACAAATCAAGACAAACACATTAGTCGGGAGCTGTTTTGATTTCAACAAAGGTGACTGTTTCTATATTAATCACTGGATTTTTTTTAGAATGACACTGATGAGGATTATCTACACATCTCTCATTAGTAAGTGTTTCCAAACAGGATTTTGGTTTGCATATTTCAGTGAGGAACTTTTTTCTTTCGCAAAACCCCAGCTAAGACCTACTACTTGTAAAGATGAGCTGGGCAGCTTTGTTTCAATGCTTGCAAAAGTCTTTTCAAGTCTTTCCAAAAAAAAAAAAAATTTAAAAAAAAAAAAAAATCATCCTATGCTTATGTTTGTAATAAAGGGGGAGCTTCATGACTAATGGAAGAATTAGCCACAAATTAAGAAATTAGGATCAAAGAGTTTTCAAACTTGGCTATATTCAGACAAACACTTGTGGTTTGCAGAGATAACTAACACTTCTTGCAGTTTGTCAGCTGTTTCCATGCTCAAAAGCTTGGCATTGGCCCAGTCAGCCAATAAAAACTGACCTACTCACTGTTACTGGACTGGTTCTCTACCTTTCTTACAATGAAACTGATCTTTAAAAAGGAGGTTTGATCAGCCTTAAAACAATACTCACATGCCCAAATGATAATTGAAACATTT